TGACAGTCGATCTGCAAACTGCCTGCGGGGAGCCCCTGGCCAGCAGAGCAGACTTTCCCAGGGCGGAGACGTCAAAGGGCAGCAAGATAGGCGGCCTGTGCAGGTGTCGCCCGCAGGCAGGGCCATGCTTCCCCGGCACCCAGCGTGGAGCAGCCACACCGCGCCTGTTGCACTTGTTCCTGCCCCGTGTGGTGGCCTCCCTCAGGAAGGGTCTGTGGTTCTGGCTATTGAAATAAGTTAATCTACTTCTAGGGGGGGTTGGGGGGGAGGTTGTGGTTCCTTCCGGCCACTCTGGGCAGACTCCCCGGAGTTCCCCAGCGTCCACCTTCCCCTTCTCCCACGGTGAGAGAATCCTTGGCTCGTAGCTGGACATCGGGCTGCTCCCCCCACCCCCCCATTTCCCAGACTTCCTGCCGCTATCGTGGCTACATCAGTATTTCTCATCAATGAGATGCACGTGTTGGGCAGCAGCCCCCAGCAATCTCAAGAGACAGCTTGCACGTGCGTTTGTCCTTCTTTCTCCTGTGCTCCTCCCTGTTGCTTGGCAAGCAGGTGGGATGGCTGGAGTCGGAGCAGCCTTTTACACTAGGAGGTAACTCAGGAATAGAGGCTTCAAACTGTGCAGCAAAGATAGAAGGATCCTCCGCAGGTCTGGCTCCAGGGGCTCCAGTCACCCCAGGTTTGTGAGACCAAACAAACCTGGACTTCCGACCTCTGGGTATTTCAGTGGGGGAGGGATCTCCTCTCTCTCGTTGAAGGACTGTTATTGGCGACTCCATAACAAGAATATATCCTCAGAGATACAGTTTCCCACCAGAAAGATCTGACACCCTGCAGCTGCACTCGGAAGTCCACATGCGACACACATGTTCTCTCGTTTAATCCTCAGAGCAACCTGACATCTGGGCACCCGCTGCGAGGAGGTACAAGGCTACTCGGTGTTTCTAAGGGAGAAAGTCCCTGGTAGGACCCAGGCACTCAGGGAACCCTGATGTCATCGCACAGCCAGCTGGGGTGGGGGGGGTAGTATTCCCCCAGTGCCTGGATAAGGAGGCAGAGAGGAGCCACGCATAAACAAGCCGACGCAACAGCACATCTGCTTCGCCCCAGGCCTCCGTCCCACCTCCCTCACGTGAGACACAGATGAGCCCTAAGGAGCTGGGCAGGGGATGGGCTGACCACTGCTTGCCAGGAGGCAGAGGTTATGTCCTATTTGCTGGACGGGACTTTATTTTAGGGCATCACCACCTATGAACCTCTAGGGGGGAATCACTCCCAATTTCCAGAGAAAGAACTCAAGG